CTCCATCACCTGAATTTATCTTGAATTTTGCTGCAGTGAACCAATCCATGTTTCAACTTCTCTTATGCTTTCGAGGTAACATGCATTTTCACCAACCAGAGCAGACTCACTGCTGAACCTTGAGTGGTTAAGGGACATTCATGAGGAATTAACTCTTAAAGACTGATTATTGGGTAAAAAAAAATGGCTTCAAGAAACTATTGAGAGAAGTAGGCAAGATTTACTACAGCAATGATTATGGCTTTCTGCTGGTCAAAACCTTTCTCCTTCAGCAAAATACAGATCAAACACTTGCTGAATTTCTCCTAAAACACTATTAGCTTTCCTCTAGAAGAAACCCTGTCTTTGCTGCAAGTATTGTTTAGATTATGAACACAATCTAACTTCTACAGTCTTCCTGGTTTGGAAGGATGGGGATCTGAATATTCTCTAACTAACCTATTAGTTTTAATTAGATACCACAGCCACTTATTTTCTAATCTGGAAAATGAGCATTCCAAATGTAAAAGGGAGGAATTCTTTCTTCCTTCCTTCCTTTTTTTTTTCCTGCTTAGTAAAATGCTTAAATGCCTTGTCAACACAGAAGAAACAGAGAAAAAAAATTGACACTTGATGAAAGATTAAGGAAAATGGGGAAGATTAACAAAGCTTGATAGGCAGGCAATTAAAATAGAAGTGAAGGATCGTTAGTATTCATTACTAGAAAACACAGGCAGAGAGGACTGTGCAGCTGTTGGAAATCCCCAGTATCTGACTGCAGAGAAGTCATTCCAGAAAATAACTTGCTTTTTTCGCTGGTGAAGTTTCCACTGGCAGTTAAGTGGATTAGTTGCTTTTTGTTGCCTCTTCACCCTTCAAGTCTTATCTGGGCTAAAGACTGTTTGAAAGGCATTTGAAATGTGGCATTACTAGGTTCTTGTCAAGGAAGCTCTTGCTTTCAGGAAGGTGAAATGGCTAATAACTTCCAGTGATAGCAACATGTCCTGATTAAATCCAAGTCCAGTGAGGAGCAAGCTGCAGCAGAGGTGCCAGACAGCAGGTTTTAGAACAGCTAGAAAAGCAAGCAACTAGTAGGTAAACATGGGACTTAAGTCTCCTACTGTCCCAGTTTCTGTCTCTGTTTTCTCTGAGAAGTTATTAAAAAAGAAAAGAGAAAAAAAAAAAAAGAAAAAGAAGAAGGAATATACGAGGTGATAAGGGTGAAGTCTGCACTTGTGCAATTCTTTCAGCTTAAAGGAAGACAAGCTTACTTCAGTCTGCAAATGAAAGTTGTGAGAGTGGGAAACCAGAACTGGATTGGAAGGTGGTATCTGCAGCAGGATTGCTCTAAAGCAATTTCAAACACCAGAGAAGAGTCACTTGCAGGCAGAGACAAGATCCTACACTCAGACAAATCCCAGCAGCACAACACACCCATGGTAACCCACTTCACTGTGCATGGGAGAGGAATAATATTTTCCATCACTGAGATGCAGAAATTTTGACAGATAATCCAAAGCTAGAACAAAACCAAGACACGTTGGATATGGGCCTCAGGTGCCTACAAAACCTTTAAATATATTTTGAAAGCAAAGCAACATTGTTTTGGTGCAACATCCCCCAAGGTACTGTAAGACAGAAGAATAATCAGAAAGTTTGAATTGCTTCTTTCTAAAGGAAGGAAACCGTAATTGATCCTTTGGGATTTTTTCTTTTATACAGTAACCAAAACACATTCATATAGATTCCTGAAAGTCTATGAATGAGGTAAGAGTGAACAGGAATTCCAACCTAACACCATCTTTATCCCTAGGACACTAACACCAGTCTTTCTGGCAGCCACTTAGCTTCAGCCAACTTGTTAATCAAAAACCAAGCTGATAATCACATACAGCTCAGAGTGCTAAACACAGAGATATGAATGTGGGATAGCAAATGAGCCAGAAACCAGTGGGAAGTCTTTCCTGCTAGAGGATAACTTGGAACCCTGAACAAACAGCAAGAACCACAAACAAACTTAAGGAACGGCACTGGCTGTATGTGGCCAGATCCTCTGAAGGCGCTCCCCACGTGCCAGCAGAGGCTGTGGTGTTGAAGCACCTGATCTGTTTCTGACTGTGCTAATAAGAGCTCCTTTTCTAGTTCCTTTTGCTAAAAGAGAAACAAGATGTTTTCTTCAGGAAACTTTTCCTTCAAGCAGAGTGAGCTGGAACATGTCTCAGGGAGGAGGCTGTAGGTGGGGCTGTGGATGGCAGCTTTGAGCCCTGCAAGAGAGCCCATGCCTTCAAATTATTCCCATACCTCTGTGGCTGCACACATTTCTTCTGTTTCAATGTCTTGTTAAACCTCTGGTTCTGAAAATACTTTGTTGGATGCTTTCTGTATTACTAACATGACAGTAATTGCAAATAAGCACCAAGTAATGTCCTGGGTGGACTAACTGAGCAGTTTTGCTCACACTAGTGCTGCCAAACTCCTTCCTGCCAAGGGAGGGGCTTGCTTCAGACCTTCCCTAGTTTTTTACCATTTGTGGCCTTATGACTCTGCTGCTAAGAAACTGCACAAGTCCTTCCATCTGTCGTGGGGAAAAAGAAGCCCCAGACCACCACATAGCATTGCAAGAACTGACCACTTGCCCCTTGCTTCCAGTTGTTGTAGTCAGGACCTTTCTGACAACGCCTAACCCCCACGTGACTGAGCTTTCCCTGTCTTTAAATCTAGAGTCTTTCATCCTAAGCATTGATTTGCTTCTGGGTAGCTCCAGGCTCATCACTTTCATGTTTCATAATCTGTGATCTGACAGATTAGGGGGATTATTTAGGGCTAAAACCTGAATTAATTATGTTACTGACAGGCAGAAAAAGATGAAAACTACCCCTCGCTTTTCATCTTCCTGTTGTAAACACAAACTTCATACTAGTATGTATCTTGTACAGTATTTGAATGGAAACACAGCCAGAGCTTGTTGGACCAACTCCTGGAGCTGATAGTACAAAGCTAAGATCAAAACATATGTGCACAGAGGGGCCTGTGCGCACACAGTGTGTATGTATCAACAGACAGACGGAACTTGCTATGCACACGCTGTGCTATATGGCTCTGAGCACAGCCCAATTCAGTGGCTACAGCTTTCCAGCTTTCATTCCCTTTCTGTTCTTCCATTGAACTGAATCAGCTTTTCCTTGTCAGTAATAGGTCCAATCTGAAAACGCTAAGTTGCTGTAAACCCTAATAGTCCAACTGTTGCCAGTCACCTCCCTGACACAAATAGAGTAAGAATCACTAAATATTGTGCGAATTTGCTTTCTATCTCAGAGGGGTGAGAGTGCTGAGGGGCATCATACTGTGCAGTCTGTTACCCTGTCACCCTGTCAGTAGCTGTTCAGACTCTCTCCTGATCTGGCCCTGCTGCATCAGCAGTCTTTTTATCAGGGCTCTCGGGCTCTGAGAAAGATGCAAACTTAGGAGGGTGTTAGGAAAGGACATTATCAGCCTGTAGCTGCAAGTAAAGGTTTGCTGCCCAGCAATCACCTTTCCTATACTTTGGAATCTTTTAAAGGGCTCCTTTTCCTGAAACTCCAATCAGCTTCATAGTCTCCTGTCTTGTGTCTTAACAGGACTTTGTGCTGTATACAGCTGTAACAGAGGAACAAGCAAGTGCAGGCAAAGCTTCCCTAGTCTATCCTGTCCTGCAGATTTCTCTGGCATTCCTAGGTTGGGTTTGAACTCTTCACTTAGCATCCATCTCTAAAGCAGCACTTCAAGTAGGAACCCACTTTTTTTAAGGAAAAAAACAAACTGTTCATACCCTGGACTTCCCAATGCCCAGTTCTCACTGGACCCTCGTTCAAGCCCAAGCTGTCAGCTCACTGCTGACTGGGGCAGAGTCCCACCAACTTCATAGCTGCCAGTGTGTGTAGAGCAAGAAATCGCTTGACTAGAGAGAGAAGCCTGGATACCCACATGCGGTCCTATCTTCCCAAATCTTCCCCTGTGCTTCCCATTGCAAAGATGCAGTCAAATCAGGCAGATGGGTCATTCCCTGCTGCCTGCTAGTGCTCAAACAAGGCAACGTTTGGTTTTGTTTTAGTGCGTGGGGCCTTTCATCGTGAGAAAGGAAAGGGGAGAAGCTTGCTTTGCTGAGGGAGGTACATGCTGTACTTGGCTGGATATTTTGTTAGGAATGAGCTGAGCTGGGAAATGCCCGCTTTCTATTCTTTATTTTGTTCCAGTTTGTTGGAGACCTCCAGAAATGCTCCACTTACAGACTGTGCCTGCAGAACGGACTAAATTAGAGGGCTGCTTCAGGGAGATTTTAAGGTATTTTCAGCCAGGCTGAACTACTGTAGCTCATACACAAAAACTGAGCTTTAAATATGGAGAAAGGCAAATACCTAGCTTCAAGTGAGGCTGATAAACCTCTGTAATTTGTTCCATGGTCTACTGATCTTCAAAGGAGCATGAATACATAGCAGCTGCATGTATCTGAGACCAATGTACTTTACAGGTTCATGGAAGAAACATCAACTTGTTTGCAAATTGTGTTAGTTTTGAAAGCAGAAATAAGGCTCAGTCTGTCCATTTCCTTAGGGATATTTCTCTTTTTATGTGTGCCTAGTACCCTAAGGAGTGTTCGACCTGCAGTCTACAGACACACAATAATAATGAGAAAGAGTCTATGAAGGTTATAATCAAAGTGATTCGGTCTGAAACAAGATGCAGGACTTCACACAACACCTTTGGATACGTCCTAATCAAGAACAGCAAAGAACAGCATTCCTGGCAATACAGAAAGAAGGAGCTCATGTTTGAAACAAAAGACCAGGAATCAACACCAGCACACATTATTCCTGGCATAATATTTCTACAGACTTACAGACCTTTGGGTACAGCAGTTACCTTTATCCACAAGGAACAAAACATGGGCTCCAAAAAGGCGCTTGGGAATCTTTATAGATGCTTGTGAATTGTAAGCATATGATGAAAAGTGGACACAGAGAATCTGCATTATTTTTGTTCACCATTGATGCTACTCTTCCACTGCTTCACCTCTCTTTTTTTTTCCAGGAATTCTGTTTGAAGACTCACCTTTTCTATAAGCATTTCCAGCTTGTCTATTGGGAAGGTTATAACAAAAGGCAGGGCATAAGCACACCTTTTCCAGGGTAGGTATTTAGGTGTTTCTCTTTTCTTTTTTTTTTTTTTGTGGTGGTGGTATTGGTGTGTAACTCAGCTGCAGCTTGCCAGCAGCTGAGTAACCTTGCAGTGGCCTTGCTGTTAGCTACCTTTGCTTCAGATCCAGGTGGCTTCAGGTGACTCATGCTTCTAATTAATGCCCTTGCCTGTCTAAATGAAGCAGTGCTCTGAAGCTGGAGCCAAACAAATTGGTCCCTAGAGAAGGGTATGATGTGTGGCAATGCTAGTTGCATCATCCAAACAGCAGCATCCAAACATCTAGGCCACCCTGCTTCCCTCAGCATGGTGTGAAAGGAAACTGAAAATGAAGGGAGACCCTGGGAACCAGGGACGTAATATACCTATGAGTGTGCATCATTAAATCACTGCTGTGCTGTTGGAGAGGCTTGCTAGGGCTTTTCTTTGTGCATTTTGTGATTTAAAACCTCTTTCATTTCAAAGCAGGTTGGGCGAAAACAATATTGAATACACTGCAGCCTAAGTAGAGAGTTCAGGAAAGAGGGGAATGTGCTTGCCTCCCTGAAAATGCAAAGCTGCCAGAAAGATTCCTTCAATACTTGAAGGCCAGTATTAAAGCAGATATCCTTCACACTGCTGACTTTGGTGCCTGGTTGTCAGACAACTGTGAATGACATCAGTTTGCCAAGTTTAGAGGCTCACTGGAGTCTGTGCTGATATGCACAATCAGAACAAACCTGTCTGGTATTCACTAGCCCAGACCACATGCGTGCTGCTTCATTTCTGAGGTGAAGAGAAAAATGCTATAATTATTATGTTTGCAGTAGTATTAGGCAATTAGGATGTCACTTTACAGCAAGCTATTGTTACTTCTTCTTCTCCCCCCCCCCCTTTATCAGAAGGCTGGTGTCTGGCTAAGGTCTTGAGCTGGGCTTACCTTGATTGCCTTCTTGTAATGGTAGCTGGCTGTTAGGACTTTAGCGTCTAATCCTGTTAATTATGGGATGCATTTTTGTTTTGGAAGGTGAGAAAAAAAGGAAAGCTTGTTCTGCAATAACAGGATTTTCATGGCTGAAAAGGAAAAAGCAAAATTTCTATTCCTGAAGCAATGGAAAAATCAAGAACCTCTGTGGCCTTTGCAGATTTTAAGGACCGATTCTTTTATTGCCTACACTCTGCTGACTTCAATATAGTTTTCTTCTGTACTGGACTCATTTGAGAGAGAAGAGAATCAGTTCTAGCAAAACAGTAGACTGTGAAGATCAAATGGAATTTCCCACTGAAAATGCATCTCTTGAGAAAAATGCCCAGTCATAACCAGGTGTTCAAAAGCAACACAGTCTGCTTGATTTAAAAAAAAAAAACCAGTATCTTGGTTAGGAAGAATGTCAGATTTCATTTCATAGAATGAAAGCCAAAGTGTGGGCATTGTGCCTGCAGCCTTAGCTGTGCAGCTTCCTTTAGCACTGATGGAAGATGAATGGCAAAGACCCAGGACATGAAGCTATGTCTAGCTTCCCTCCACTTTTACATCACTACAAGGCAAAACTGCACTTATTGAAAACCCTGCAACCATTACATGGCTTCAGTTGCTAAAACTGCCATTATACTTGCAGCTATAGAACAGGACAAAAACAGTTTTTTTATAGCTGGCAGCAAGGGAGATGGACAGAAAGAAGCACAGCTATGACAGAGAATCTCAGAGCATGTGTTGAGGCCAAAACAGACTGAGGAGCTAAGCAGAAGCTCTTCAAAAACCACCAGGGTGCCTTGGGACTAGATGATCTTTAAGATCCCTTCCAAACCAAAACTTTCTATGACCTACATGCAGGAATCCAAGTGTGCCACAGTCCCTAGAAGAGGATTAGCATTCTTCATAGCTGCTACTGTGTTGCTATTTACTTTTAATAGATGCACGCTGTGGAAATCACACTTAATTTATGCCCAAAGTAAGCCACATAGTTTCTCTTATTTTCCTCAGCCACTTCATGTATAAGGAAAAAGCTTATCAGTAGTAAATAAATGAGATCAGCTTGTTTGCAGACTCACTCCCTAAGCTAAGCATGGGGGCTTTTCAGATAATTCCTTAGAAAAGGTTATGGTGTTTGAAGCTGCGTAACTGGACATTTTTTTTTCTGTGAGGAGTAGTAACTGCCTTAGCTCGTGCTATCCAGTATCTCCTCTATATGCATAGAAATCCTGTATGCGGCTATGCTAAGATGTTCCCTGAGGTTTCAATCTGCAGTACTTTCAGCCTTTCCACTGATTAGTTATGGACTTCACCATATGATAAGTCCATAAGCCTTCCTTCGCAGGGAACACATACCTGGATTATTATTGTTTTCATCCCAATGTCCTGTTGCTGAAAAGACTAAATTTCTTCACTTGACTGTAAAAGGTAATGAATTTCAAGGAGGGAAAACTGTAAATGTTACATTTCTTTTGATGCAGAAGCTGTGCTTTCTAAAATGTCCTTTCTCCTCTTTCTGAAGAGAGGTACCCACATTCATGTACAGTTTCTTTCTTAGATTTGTAGAGCAAAGCACTGAACCCATCATCCAGCCATAGCGTTCTCTGCCATGCTGTGTAAATTATGTATGAAGTTACAGAGGTGTGTGAGCATTTATAACTACAATATTCTGGAAGTGGCAGAGAGCACTGCAGTTAGGCTGGCCAAACAAATCAGTCAGATGACATTCAGAGGCGTTTAAAGGAAAAACACTGATCCCTTCCTAAAAATTTAGCAGTCAAAATTCATTATGAATTAAGGATAAACACACACAAAATCACATCCAAGGTACCAGATCCACTCCTCACTCTCAACAAATAATGAGTTACTCTAACCCCCCATTCAAAACATCCCCCTGTATCATACAGAACTGACAGGTTCAGCAGGCAAAAGGACTATTTTAGTATGGTGGCAAGTTGTATTGCTTCATAAAATATGGAGCTTTTGTTCTGTGCAACCAGCACAAACAGTGGAGGTTATACTGGAGAAGAAACGTTTCATTTGCAGAGTCAACAATTCAGCACAGTACATTTTAACAGCTATTTCAGGTACCCTCATATCTTATATAATGATACATCAACCTGACATCTGTTGGAAGAAGGAGCCTCAGCCTAGGCTGGTGTTGGGTTGTCTAGGAGAAAGCTGCATTAGTAAAGCACTCTAAAAACATGGGGAAAAAAATTGTTTATGCCATTCAGGAGGGATCTGAAAGTTCATGGTCTGGATCTGGTTTGGAAAACATCAGCAGCTGGGAAGCCATATTTTACAAGTGATCAACCTTAGGTGACAGAACAACTCTTTGATGCTTTGTGTATGTATGTACAACTTCGCCTACATAATAGGAAGCTTGCATTTTCATTGATAATCAAATTTCTGTTAAGGACTTTGATGTTATCATTGCTGCAGCACCTGGCAAATAGATTAGAGAGCTTTGTTCAGGGAAAGCGAACAAGGAAAAAACCCTGAATTGGTGGCAACTGGCAGTTTCTATTCCCATTAGAAGTCATAGTGAAATGTCTCATAATGTTTGTGCTACTTCATGCACTAACAGGCTTGAAAAACATGGAAAACAGAGCCTGTCATACCAAGGAGACAGCTTTATTTGAATGGCAGGCTTGGGGTTAGCTGTTTTCTGCTGATAGGCTAAGAGTTCCAGAAAGAGATATTTCTCCAACAGCCGCTGCTGGTAGGAGATCCTGAACGCAGTTGTTTCTCTCCTGTTCTGAAACAGGAAGCCTAGTTAGTTTGACAGATTTATACTGTGCTCTGTTTACACACCATTCAGTCCCACAAATGCTCAGTAAGATGTGGTTCCTCACTCCCACTCATTCCTGGCCCGGCAGAGCTCCTTCGTGATCCATTCCTACAAGGTTCCCCCCTGCAGAGCTCCTATCTGACACTGGGAAATGCTGCCTTGCAGTTCTAGCAACTGTGCATCTAATTTTCACTGGGGAAAAAGTGCAAGGGCACCCACTGTTTTCACTGCAGTGAAATGAAGACATTGTCATTTACTCACCATTTTCAGTCTTTACAAAGGCTCTGTTCTGTAGTTTGATGATGAGACATGCATTTTCCTTGGCACAGTCAAAGGAAAAACAAGCCCAAACTGCCACCTTTATGATTTGGAATCTCAAGACAAGCTGTACAGACCCTGAATGGATCTTACTCAGATTCTTCCCACGTACTGCTTGAATATGCCTCACACCAAACTTCACTCCAAACCCTCTTACTGGTGTCACAGGTGCCTTAGATCTCATAATGCACAGGGAGACCATTTGCATTCACTTTCCCTAATTAATAAGATGATGAACACTCAGAGCTTTTTTCATCCGTACCTTGAAATGCAGTTTTTGGCTTGGACTCTCAGCATTCTTAAACATTCTTAAATGTATAATGTTAATCAAATGCATTTCTTGAGCTATGGTAGTAGACAATATAGAATTTTTTTAGCAGCTCCAGCATATTTAAGATAGGCTAGGTGGAGGTTTATATTTTTGGAGACATACTCATCCATTAATCATAAAGAATGTGCATGGTTATCTTGGTGCCTGACACAGTAGCTGATTTTTCTGCTATTTTCAAAACTGACATCTTGTAAAATGCCCTTTTCCCTTTAGCTCTTTCCTTTGTGAATGTGATACTGGGAAGGAGAACTTTCAGTGGCATGTCTGAGTTCTAAATCCTGTGTTTTAATAGCACCCTCCTCAATACTTCTGATTTCCTGTTCAAAAGTGAGGGGGTAATGCTCCTTATATAGTAAACACAGATGATAAGGTACAATTTAGGCTATTTGAATGGCCTCAAGGATATACCAAGTGTGGGATCTTGGTGGTACTCTGTACATCCTTTACACGTAAGTGTTTTTAAACCACTGAGCATCTGTCATCACCACCTGTTCTTCCCTTTCCTGAGCTTAGCTTTACAGAAGGCTTTGGAAAGAATGTGTTTTGGGTCACTTGGCCATTTGCTTCTGCTAATATGACTTGCTAGCTCAGTGAAACCCAAGAGCCATTTACATACAACAAAACTCCTCTTTATCCTGGAAGGGATCATCTGTGCCAGCTCATCCACTTATCGCCAGAAACGTCATCTGATTCATGAGCAATTACTGCAAAACAAAGCAATGAACCAATTCTTGACTGTAAATCAAACCGGGACACTTCCCATAAGTGTTACAACTCTTGGAAAGGGCTGCCTTCAGATGTAAGGACTGTCTTTGGATGTAAGGACTGTATTACTTCATGCCTGCCCTCAGGATTGTATCTGCTCTACAATTGTGCCACTCCTTAAGGCCACACCTGCCTTAAGGACCAGTGAGATCTTTGATATGTTGAATTTGGACTACCTAGATGTGAAATATAAAATGTATGGAGTTAGTTCTTGCAAGCGCTTCGTTTCTGGACTGATCCTGGAAGCAGTTACATGAGCTCCAGGCTAACTCAGCTTTTATGATTCATTTTTCATTCATGAATTGAGAAAACTGGTTAAAATCAGAAACTTGGCAGCAAGAGGGCTAAAAAATATCCCTTCAACTGAAAAGCCGAGAACTGGTGTGTAAGTTGAACATATGTTACAAAGACAGTATCTTTCTGAAGGTTCTGTCAGAGCACTTGTATCGCAGAAGCAGTCTCTTCTGGTGCAATATTCAGTCGTCCATCTGTGAAATTAAGAACATTAGAGGTATTCTCGCTGGAGCTTCCTGACTCTTCCTAAGCTTAGAGGAATGCTGAGGTGGGAAATATTTCTTCCCAGAGACTGTTGATTGAATCCATGTGGAAATCTCTACCTGACAATTAGGCTCACATGCCTGAACCAGAGCACAGCTCCCCACTGAGATGCTGCTCTGGAAATTTAACTCTTGGAAGAGGTGTTTGCTCTTTTCTTGGAGGCATCCTTCTTTCAAATAGTCTGGATAAAAAACCCCAACTGTGTATCAATGGCTGATGGAAGATGTGACACAGGAGAAGACCAGAGGTAAAAGATTACATTCACAGTGTGTTACTGTGTCATTTCAATAGAGGTTATATGCTCTTGCTGGTGCCAGGTAAGAAATGGATGGGTATGCTTGAATGGGAGGCAATTTGCACTTTGATGACTTTTTGAACAAAGGCTGGGCCCATCCAAGTCTCCAAGCAATACAAAACCAAGTAAATGTCTCTTTGAGGCAATGAGAGGATTTGCCACTGAAATGTCCGAGTGATATGAATCTACAGGAAAAGTGGCAATATTCTGAGACTCAAAGAACAGTGTGTTACTTCAGCAAAGGAATATCCCAAACGACTGGCTCGGAGATAAATGCCAGCAGTCTTTGAGGGATGAAAACCTCTTGCCATTATGGATATATAGGGGAAAGAAAGCTTCTATGTCATATAAAGCTGTAAGTCACGGGTCCCAAGGCAAAAGCAGCTTTCTCTGCTCACAGACAGGCTGCTCTTCCACAACAGCTATGCAGATGTTTTTCATGCATTGTCATTTGCTAGCCTTGGGCTACGGCTTCAATCCATTTACAGTCTACACCTTGT